AAACTAAAACAGATAATTAAGATCCGATCGCAGCGTTTTAATCTACGGACTATTTTCTATAAGATAGAATAGTTAAAACGGAAATCAGAGAGATGAAATTTTAACTCTTAAGAAAAAATTGCCAAGGGGGGGTGCTTGATACTTTTTTTCGACAATTTTTGATAATTAATATCTCATAAATTAAAAGCCGTAGCAACCAACAAATTGCTGATTATGAAAGACTAGAAAATTCTCTATCCGATAACAATATAAAATAATTATATTTCTAAGAGTAAAAGGTCAAAAAACACCATTAAAAGTGCTAAAAAGTGACTTTTTTCAATTTTTGCCCATTTTATTCAATCGCGAATATCTCGTAAACTAAAACAGATAATTAAGATCCGATCGCAGCGTTTTAATCTACGGACTATTTTCTATAAGATAGAATAGTTAAAACGGAAATCAGAGAGATGAAATTTTAACTCTTAAGAAAAAATTGCCAAGGGGGGGTGCTTGATACTTTTTTTCGACAATTTTTGATAATTAATATCTCATAAACTAAAAGCCGTAGCAACCAACAAATTGCTGATTATGAAAGACTAGAAAATTCTCTATCCGATAACAATATAAAATAATTATATTTCTAAGAGTTAAAGGTCAAAAAACACCATTAAAAGTGCTAAAAAGTGACTTTTTTCAATTTTTGCCCATTTTATTCAATCGCGAATATCTCGTAAACTAAAACAGATAATTAATATCCGATCGCAGCGTCTTAATCTACGGACTATTTTTTATAAGATAGAATAGTTAAAACGGAAATCTGAGAGATGAAATTTTAACTCTTAAGAAAAAATTGTCAAGGGGGGGTGCTTGATACTTTTTTTCGATGATTTTTGATAATTAATATCTCATAAACTAAAAGCCGTAGCAACCAACAAATTGCTGATTATGAAAGACTAGAAAATTCTCTATCCGATAACAATATAAAATAATTATATTTCTAAGAGTAAAAGGTCAAAAAACACCATTAAAAGTGCTAAAAAGTGACTTTTTTCAATTTTTGCCCATTTTATTCAATCGCGAATATCTCGTAAACTAAAACAGATAATTAAGATCCGATCGCAGCGTCTTAATCTACGGACTATTTTCTATAAGATAGGATAGTTAAAACGTAAATCTGAGAGATGAAATTTTAACTCTTAAGAAAAAATTGCCAAGGGGGGGTGCTTGATACTTTTTTTTGACGATTTTTGATAATTAATATCTCATAAAATAAAAGCCGTAGCAACCAACAAATTGCTGATTATGAAAGACTAGAAAATTCTCTATCAGATAACAATATAAAATAATTATATTTCTAAGAGTAAAAGGTCAAAAAACTCCATTAAAAGTGCTAAAAAGTGACATTTTTCAATTTTTGCCCGTTTTATTCAATCACGAATATCTCGTAAATTAAAAGAGATAAACAGAAACGTCTCGCATACTCTTAAACTACGGAAAATTCTCTATAAGATAGGCTAGTTAAAACGGAAATATGAGGGATAAAGCATTTGGAATGCACAGAAAACTGTAAACTCTACATTCACCTTTGCATTTTGTGCATTTCCTAAGTGTCTTAAAGTAGAACACATTTTATCGACGTTTTATTAACATCATTACGGACATTAGACGCGCGGTAATAACATTACGAATTAACATTACAAACATATCGTCATCCATTAACGTTCACTCGTTTGATAAATACCGGCACATGACTTTTTACAATTTTCTGCTTTTCCTCACTCAATTACTCTTGCGGTTGCAAAACATGTCGAAGTCTACGCCAATACAAACACATTTATCATTATATCTGCAAACATAAATTATCATTGACATGGAATTCTTATTTCAAGCGCATATTGTGTTTAATGTCTTTAAAAGTTAATTTAAGCAAAAGTTAACCTATATTATTATATCTAAGTAGGATTCAATGAGTTTACTGTTTGCTCGAGTTTAATCTTCACAAGAACGGCAAACAATTCCTCGTTAACTAACTATCAGATGTGAGCAAAGCTTATGTTTATATGCGAGTGAAAAAGTTTTACGATGGATTCTTTTTAATTCTCGGCCTTTTTATTCTGAAACAGAGACAAATTCCTGTGCCTAGCGCTAAAATTATGGATTTAGATTGGCGAAAATACGAAATGATAAACATTTTAATGGCAGAATTCTGTTTATGGCAAGCGTTAACGGTTTTAATGAAATATTTATCTGAGTGCGAAATTTATTAGGTTTTATTCGTTGAATAAAAATGATAAATTACGACCAATAAAAACATGTCCCAGATTACACAACATATTGCACTCGTTGCACTGATTATATCATTATTAAATCTGTAATAATAATTAACGACTTTTATGTGCTTAAAAAGTTGTGTACGTGAGTTTCTCATGCGCGCAGCATCACAATGAAATTGTAAAAATATGCATAATAATTTCTAGGTTACTCAATCCAGTGTGACTGAATGAAACACTCATAAATCACCTCTTTGTTTTACATGCTTTTACATTTGTATTTTAATGGCGCACCGTGAGAAAACTCATCAGCAAGTCAAAGTAAATATATTTGGAATTAAAATTGAAACAAATTTGTGTTCAATGAAGCAAAGAGAAAAAACCGGTAGACTTCGTAGAATTTTGTGTGTATAGTAGAATCGATGTTTCGATGGACACAGTGGATGTGAATAACTGAATGAAGATGAGCGTTCATGAGAAACGAGTAGCGCAGTCGATCACGTAATTTTCTACGGACGTGTGCATGAGATAATGTTCAACACGTGAATATCGAGTAGGTGCGGACGAGGAGAAGAAGACGACGAAGAAAACACCGGATGCACGTACGAAATAATCTTCTTTCCTGCTAACACACTAAGAAAATGTAAAAATTTATCAATCTTATGATGAAAATTGCTTGTGCGCATACGTCGAAGATATTAAATTTTGTTTTTAGTGTTTTTTGATGATCAGAATATAAAAAAAGCTTCATTGCAAAGTCTGGAACACTTAAACATCATTTTACACTACCAACACATTGTAAACATGTAAATGATCAGTTCGACGCTTCTTCATCATAACCTACAACTCGCGCTACTCATGATGATCCCTTGTGTCGAATGCTAAATGTTTAACATATGCGTGCTTGGCACAATTTATTTACTCGATGGCGTGCGACGCCGCATCATTACTTACCGTCGGCGGCGCATTAATTTCGAAAACAAACCACCGCGATGTCTACCGCGTTTCCGAAGCTTCTGTCTTGAGCGCCGGCGGTGGCCCGTGGTCTCGTTCCTCGCCTGAAGCAGAGCTTCTGGAGCGGGCGCGCTGCCACCCTAATTACACGGCTGCGAAGGAGATGATTATTTGTTTTCTGTGTTTTGCGCGGCAAGTACTTCTCTTCGGAAAGCAAAAGATGAAGAAGAAGTCGGGTTTGTGATTATAGGAGTGCAAGTCGCGCTTGCCTGCTGTCCCAAGACGTTTGCGGCACCGCTAGCTAAGAAAGTTCTTTTAAGTGGAGCTTGTGATGAGCTCCAGATGAGATCTACATGGTAGATAAAAGAGAGATGTCATAAATTACACATAAAAGAGGTAAAAGTAATATTTACCATAAAATATTTTAAATCAAATAAATTTTTTGGATATAATTGTGGTTTTGGGTAATTTTAAACTTTTAAGATCGAAAAAAAAATTTTTGTTGCATATTTTGTGAATTTAAGTATAAAATCGTAATATATCACAAAATAAATAAAATTTACTTAGGTAGCGACGAATTACCGTTAATACTCGCTCGGATATCTTGTATATCGTTGTTAAGTTCCATTGTTCGCGTTTTTACAAACAAATCCACGAGTTACGAAAAATCGTAACTTAATAATAAAATACATAAATTGCGGCATAATTTCGAAGCGAATCACAAATCACAATGGAACAACCAGCCGACGAACACGGCCCGAACAAAATATAATTTGTACCGTACACACCTGCTCCCAGAGAACAAGAAAAAAATCTTATTAGACTTACTTAATCTTGATTCACTGCCTGGTTACATTTTTGAACATACTGTATAGTATATCTTTAATAAACTGGATGAAACGTATGAAATATTTAATTGTGAGTACAACTTTGTTCTTGTTCACCTGTTCACGTGAATTACTTAATATATTTCACAAGGCGTGTTGTCGGGAGAGGAAAACAAAAGCCAAACAAGCGTATTAAACAAAATGGCCGCCTATCACACGCCGTGCGGTGTCGCGCAACGGACGAGCAACGAGGAACTAATTACGTTCTTTCAAAATACGCACAATATTATAAAGCGATTGCACCTGAAGTGACATTTCTTCATTTATTACGCAATGCAGTCAGTCTAATCAGATGTCGTGAATTAGCTACCGTACTTCCGCTTTTCATTTGTCGTCGAGTCGTCGCCATCTTGTTAGCGGTGTCTTTGTTGCAAACGACAAAAGTGCATGTCGGAAGGGTAAAAAACTTTGCAATTATTACCAGTATTACGTTTATTGCGTTTATTACGATTCGAATAGCATGCCTTACGATTGTTACACGTTTTGACGGCGCTGGCAATTAAGCAGTCGGTCATTAGTCACAGACAGTCGTTGACGTTGCACTTGTTGCAATTATTCGACGCACTGAATAAAATAAAAGGAAACACTCACATAACAAAGCAAAAAGAATCGTAAACTCAAGAATAGGCATTCGCCTGTAATTATTTTACGATTTATTAAGTTTTTTGAGTTTGAAATTTTAAAAAACTTTTTTTATTTACTTATTTATTTGCTGTCGTTTGTAGTTATTTATTGGTTTATTATGTTTATTGCTCAGAAACAGGTCCAACGATAGGCAAATATTATAAGTAACGATATAAAAATGATAATTTTAGTGTTTTGAGAGCACAGCACGTGCCAGATTTATAGAAATTGACTTAAGCAGATTTTGACCGATTTATAAATAGAATTTCTTGGTTTGTTGTAGGATGATGTGGATTGACGAGACGCCAAAGAAGTTGAACGACACAGATGACAGCGCCGATTCAGTGAGCAGCGGTGAGGAGCTGCCAATCTGGGTGCGAGGCGAACAAAGATGGGTGTCGGGCGTTGTCGAAGAAACCACATGCTTTGATGTTATCAAAGTTTTACTACAAGATGAAGAAAATAGAGTAAGTTAAATCACACAAATATTTATAATACTAAAGAAATTTTAAATTTTTAATTTTTTACAGGGCAAACACACCGGAAAAGTCGAAGAATACCACATTACTGAACGATGGCGTGGTGTGGAACAACCATTAGATGGCGAAGCAGCCATATTAGATATTTGGAATGCTTGGGGCACTGCACAAACAGAAGTAAGACTTCTTTTTAAGTCAAATCTAAATTATTCACATTAAATGATATTTCTGAGTGTTTTATTTAAAATTTTTGTGTTCTTAGGTTAAAATCTCGTTGAGAAGATTAAAATACGACCGCACATTACGCCGGTCCCGTTGTCGCTCGGATACCAGTCTATGGTCAGATAAAAACTCCTTCAAAACGGTGCACCCTAAGAGATTGACAGCGCTCCAGAACGAGAAACAACCGTCTAGTACCGAGGAGCTTTTAAAGTTGGTATTGGCTCAAGGTGAAGTGATTAGAAAACAACTTAAAAAGCTCAGGTAAGAATAATAAGGGACATAAAATGCTTTCAGAACTTTAAGTCTAATCTAGTAATGTTTTTAGGCACAGTGAACATCAAATTGGAAACTTAGAAGAAAAGACTCATCGAGCCAGGGTACGAAAACATGGCAGTAATTATTTGCTGGAAACTTATCTGAAAGGTTTATCGGAAGCAATTGAACCAGAAACCTCCGAAACACCTTTAGGCGATAAAAACAGTGATAGTGGTGTGGTAACTGAAGGAGACAGTGAACAATCCAATAACAAAGCATCCAATTCCGCTGAGGTAAGTTTAATACATCATTAAATAGACTTAAAAATAAAATTAAATTGATTTTGCTTATTTCAGAGTTCATTTGAAAGATTCTCGTCACCATCTTCGCATGAATTCAACAAAGACCTCAAAGACGACGATACTTCGTCCACAATTAGTGAGGCTACTGTACGAGAACAATTGGATCTTTTTGACAAAATATCCAAACTAAACAAACGCCTACTTAAAGAAGAAGAAGCTTTAGTACGCTTGGAAGCTAACCTTAAGAAACATGAGAAATCTCATAGCGCCACCGACGAGTTGTCGAAAAATCTAACGCAAACTCGTACTGAACTCGCGAAAGGTTCTTGTGAATTGCAACATAATGATGTTGTACTGGAGGAAACCCTGGAAGCCATCACGCATCGACGAAACTATCTGGAAACGTTGCACAAAGATCTCACGAATGAGGATCAAGAGTTTGAAATGTTGCAAACTTTGCTTTACAGGCAAAGCATCAATCAGCACAAGCTCAAGATTCAGAGGCAGCAATTGGAACAACAGCAACAGCAACAACAGCAACAACAATTGCAGTTACAGCATAATCAACAACTGTTTGTACAGTCATATCCGTTGAGTCCACAGTTTCAAAATCAGCAGAGTCATCAAAGATTAGGCGGTTACAAGGCGCATCATACCAAAGAATTGTTAGATACCTTAGTGTAGCACAAAATTGCGACCAATTTTGAAAAATCCAATTGAATTGTTTGTGTTTGGGTTAATTTTATACCAAATATTTGTACCTAACATCGATTTTAATCAGTGTTAATGTGTAAGATAGTGTAATGATACATTTTCAAAGTCATATTTTAGAATGTAATGTCTAACATTTAAAATTTGTGCATTTTGTAAATAAAATTTGTTTGTTTTTTAATCAAAGCCAGTTTTGTGGAAATTTTTGATAAATCTTAGTAGCCTGTGAGTAGAAATTGTTTTACTATTGTTTGATCGTTGGCAGCTCATGCATTTGCACCGTTTTTGATCTTTTTTCATCAGCCTGATTAAATTATCCGCAATTATTTGCATCGAACGTTTCGCTGTTTTCTAAAACCAACGATTAACATAACTCTACTTGCGGTAAGTCGAATATTTGATTAATTTCTTGCATTTTCTTAATATTGACTTTGCATTTGCAGAATCCGAAAATGGCGTCAGGAGGGTCTGATATACCAAAGTGCTTCTGTCCCTGTGGCGATTGCAAGTGCGGGGTCGGCTGCAAATGCACACCAGAAAATCGCATGCCAGGCTGTTGCTGCCAGATTTCAGCATCGAAAGGGGGCCCAGCTGAAGTGTGTCTCTGCAAGTGTGAAGGCTGCAAAGCCGGCACCCATTGCGGCGGCGAATGCAAGGAAGGTACATGTGGCGGCAAGTGCATGTGCTCCTCATTGAGATGCTAATCATCCAACGATGATATGATGTAAACAAGATCAAGACAACAGCTTTATGTAACGTCAACTTTATTTTTCTCCTCAAAATATGACCTTGTTTAATGCAAATAAAAATTAATCGTAAAAACCTGTGTTTTATTTATATTTTACATGTCCCTTATTAAAAATGTTTTCAGGCTTGCTCAAGAAATATTGTGTCACTATCAATCAAGTTTTACACAAATTGTGTTTAAAGATTGATTGGTGAGGAATCCATCTAGTGAAAATGCCGATTTAAAAATCGCTATAAGTTGAAGAGTAAAAAAAGTTAAAAATCACAGCGAAATTCAATAAATTTTAAATAAAAATTTTTACATGTAGCTACCTCCTCACACATTCTGCGATCCGGATACAAATCGGTAAAATTATTTCGATCTTCGCGACCAAAAATCGCTTCAAAATTGCCATTTTACAGTTTTGGGTATCAGGAGAACAGAATGTGCGAGGAGGTGTAAGATTTTTAAAAATTTTGAATTTTGAGGCGCCATCTCGTGGTGGAGTATTGAAGTAACATATTAGTTGTGCTTGCGTTTTTCACAAACAGAGGGCGCTAGGTGTTTTAAAATTCAAAATAAAGAATTGATATTCTTAATCTGAAAACGAATATAATTTGGGAGGCAAAATTAGCAATAAAAATTACTGCAAAAATATTATTTATTGTAAAAACAATGCATTACATAGCGGTAATAAGTAAATAAATAAAATAAATACAATAAATACATTAAATAGTAATAAATAATGAGTAAAATAAATTAAATGCAAGTATTAGAAATAAAAACTGACTAAATATAACAAAATCGCCCTTACAATTGACAGTGTCTGTTCTTTATCACAAATTGATGAAATTTAAGCTGCCATTTTAAAGCAACTAGTCTTTTGCTATGAAATTGCAGGAAATAGAAATCATCCCTTTCTGTATAGAACTATGAAAGGAAACTCCCACAGAACAAGTCATCTGCTTCTTCTTCTTCTTCTTCCTCTTCTTCTTCTTGTTCCTCCTCTTCTTCTTCTTCTTCTTCTTCTTCTTCTGTTGGCTGTATGGTCACTATACAGCATAGGCTATCAGCCTGTTTTTCATCCTGACTTGGTTGGGTAAACTGAAATAAATCAAATCATATCATTAATGAACATACTTTTTCTGAATTGGTGATTAACATCAACCACTCATGATCTTACCTCAATGAATGTCTCAAAATTCACATTACAGACTTAACTGTTTCTCGGCTTTTTCTAACAATTCATTGTTGATTAACCGGGCAACGAAGGAACCTCACATTTGACTTAAGTCGACTTATTCGTAAGTGGTACATCAGCTGTCCATAGTTGGTACAGAAAATGCAAAGAAAAATTCAAAATTTAGTCTTAATGTCATCTACCATAATCCGGCCACAGATGTGTTAAATTCTGTAATTTAATTTCAGTAATATTGTTGGTATTGATAAGATAAAACAATAGTACGTGAGAGTGTGATTGATGCTCGAATGTGTTGCGTGCCGTGTGCAACTTTAATTTGTTTATTCCTGATGAAATGTAGGCAAACCATTAGTCAGTTAAGTGAGTTGGCTGGAATACGTTCGTCGTACTCAACGCCGTCTGAATTTGCACACGGCACCAATGATTTCTAGAACGTGATTATCTCAACCGGCTGCAAAACCCGCGAAGTATAAAACGCCGGTTGCGTTATATCGCCGCATCACAAACCGATAAGTGATAGATCATCTTCAAAGGTTAATACCTCCAAAGTACCAATTCAAAATGGCCGCCACTTCTGAAAATGGTAAGTATACTTAATACTTGAATACTTGATACTCACTAATTTACTTGTTGCTTTTACAGTGTGCTGCAAAGTTGATCAGAAATGCTGTAAAGCTGACTCAAACTGCTGCAAAGACCAAGTCTGCTCCTGCGATTGCAAGAAGGATAAATGCTGCACCATCGACGCTAAATACTGCCCTGAAGATGCCGAATGCTGTATTGTAAATGGCAAACGCTGCTGCATTGAAGGGAAATGTTCCGGTGATGGTAAATGCTGCCCTGAAGGTGCCAAATGTTGTGTGATCGAGGGCAAAAGCGTTTGCGTTGACGGCAAATGCATTCCAACCGGCGGCCAATGCTGTCCCGGTGAAGAAAAATGCTGTGGCAAGGACAAACAATGTTGCAAGGACGGGAAACCATGCTGCAAGAAAGACGACTGTTGCTAAGAAGGCCCTCCAAGAGTCGACATAGTCAGATAGTCTTCTCCATGCCTTCCATTTTCATCAATATCTGTAACATTTTCAATAATTTATGATTATTAGGCTTAATTCTTGACGATACATATTTGTAATTTTAATTTGGTAAATTTGCAGTAGCATGACCAGCCATTTTGCAAAGAAACTATGTATTGTAAATTGTAATGTTAATTTTAAAAATAATGAAATAAATATTTGGTTTTAAATTTTTGTTATTGATAATATTGTGAAGTCAAATATTCAACAAAAGCGATGTCTTTCTCGAACAAATTATAAAATGTTGCATATTTGCACGTTCCGGTGTTTTTCTGCAAGTTCGAAGCTCGGCGAGCTCCGCGAAGAGTCAACAAGCTGAAGTTAATGAAATATGAATGAACATGAGAAGAAAGCACGCGCAAAAGGCCGGCGACGGCAAAAAAGAACACCGCCGGTACTCAAAGACGAAACATGACGCATCATAATTTATGAATTACGACGGCCCGTTAGCATCTTAGATTCTTAGATGTTTGCCATCACCATCGCGTTCGGCATCGCGCATCGAAACGATTCCGAACGCAATCTATCGTGACGTCTGTAACGTTGCTTAATGATTATAACACGGCTCAACAAAAAAAAATTTATTTTTTGCCTAAAGTTTATTTTATGATTTTTGGGTTAATTATGCGCAACAACTACCAGCGAATACCTCATTTTGGTATAAAGTTTGCTTTTGTGATATCTGTAGTAATAATACTCATTTTCAAATCTACTATATAAAAATAAGACTGCTTTTCCTTCCTGTCGCTATAACTCCAGAACGCACCAACCGATTTTCACGGTTTTGCATTTGTTGGATAGGTCTCGGGCTCAGAGAGATATATAACAAAGAAAATAGTAGAAAAATTCGAATAGAAAAGCGGGAAAGCACCAGGGAAAGCACCTGAAGGAACAGGGAAAACATTTGTCATTTCATTGATTTTGTTATTGTAGAAATTACTCGTAATTATTTCTACATGTTAGGTTGGTATCGAGGAGAGAAAAGATTTGATGAAACAATTCGTTAAACAGTTTGGCAATACCTCAGAAGCTTTTACTTATTTGAAAATTTTTTTTCCCAAGTTATCTGAAGCAAAAGTTAAAGCTGGAATTTTTGTTGGTCCGCAAATTAGGCAAATTTACGCCGATGAAAAATTTTCAAAATTGCTGAATCACACCCAAAAAGCAAGTTGGAACAGTTTTAAAGTAGTAGTAACTGGATTCTTAGGAAATAACAAAGCTAAAACTACGAAAAATTAGTTGAAAACATGTTGAAAAATTTTAAGGCCATGGGATGTCTTGCTGGATGTCTTTGAAAGTACATTTGCTTCATCCGCACTTAGATAAGTTAAAAAATAACATGGGGGCATATTCCGAAGAGCAAGGAGAACGTTTTCATCAGGACATCATGCACTTCAAACAACGATATCAAGGCCAATATAATGAAAATATGATGGGAGACTATATCTGGGGTTTATTGAGAGAAAACAGTTATGATCATAAAAAAAGGGCAAAAATGTACACTTTTAAACTATTTTTCACTTTTTTATAAGTTATTTTAATAGTAAAAATTCATGCAAATGATAAATTAATTTATTTGTATAGTTCTATCCTTAATTAAACATAAAAATCCCAAATTTTGAAAAATATAGTTAAATCTGAATTCTGAGTACAGAAGCAAACTTCTTTATGTCATATATTTTTTTTTCGTGTAGTTATGACCTAAATTATCGAAATTAAACCTTTAAACGAAAAGGCAAATTTTGTGTTGACCTGTGTAATCAGGCAAACACCGGCGATTCGCATCGCAAAATATACAAGATATATGGATTATTTTTGCAAATTTTATGTCTCCATTTAGAATTATTCAAATCCACAACTGCATCGTTCATCAATTTTATAGGGAATTGTTTTGAAATACATGCATTTCATATATTACATGAAAAGATTGGAATGCTTACTTACATAAATAGAAGTGTTTCTTGTAATTTAATTATTATCGAGATTAGTTTTTCATAATTCATTTATATAATATTTTAAATGTAAGTTTACACAATTTGATTGTGCTTAAATTAATTGTGCTTAAAATTTCAAATAGAACCTAAACGGTTAATGTTAGAAAAAAATATTACTGAAATAATTGATGTAGAATTAAATTATCTGTCAGAATCAGAAAACAGAATTTCAAAATTTCAAGCTTTAATTTTGAATATAAAAACAAGAAATCTTTTGCCTTTTTTATGGCGAAATATTTGTTCACCAAATGCAACTTTTGAACTAATTAGAATTTTTGAATTCTGTTTTCGGATTCTGAAAGATAATTTAATTCTATATCGACTATTTATGTAATTAATTTACTAACATTGACCGTTTAGGCCCTATTTGCAATTTCAATACAAAAATGGTTTTTACATGCTAATAGGGCATTGATCTACAATTGTGATACTGGTTTCCGATTCAGAATTTAATCTACTTTCAGAATCCAAAATCCGAATATAAAAATTTCAATTAGTATAGAAGATGCATTTGCTAAAATAAAAGATTTCGCCATAAAAAAGGCAAAAAATTACGCGTTTTCATTAAATTTTGCAAATAGGGCCTAAATGCTTAATGTTAGCAAAAAAGTTACTAAAATAACCGATAAAGAATTAAATTATCTATCATAATCCGAAAACAGAATTAAAAAATAGCAATTATTTCAAAAGTTAATTTAAAAATTCAAACTTTTAATTTTAACATTAAAAAGATTGAATCTTTTGCCTTTTTTATGACAAAACCTCTTTTCAGCAAATGCAGTTTCTGTAATAATGAGAATTTTTTAATACTGAAAGTAGATTAAATTTTGAATTGGAAACCAGTAACACAATTACAAATTAAATCCCTATTGGCATGTAAAAACCAATTTTTTTTTTAATTAAAATTGCAAATAGCACCGAATGAGAAAACTCGTCTTGCAATTTAAATTTCTTATCTAGGTTTGATTACGGAGCATTTCAAATCGTTAAAAGCGATTACCGCCCTAAAACTTAAACAGCAAAATTCATTTCGCGAGTCGGCGCAAATTCAAACATAACTTTGGACGGTGACTAAGATTAAGTAATGAAATTCTTAAAGCAGAAGTGCATTATACAATATTTATGCAAACAAATCGTTAGAACTATAAGCAAAATTGTGTTGTCCTAGTCATTAGCTACTTTTAATCGGTCTACTCGTTAAACGCACATTACATCTTAATGTAATGGCAAAAACCCTTTGCCCTTAGTACTTGATAAGAATATCGCATATTTTCAGTCTATATAAATTGAAATCACTGCATTTGAAAATCAGTACAATTAAATCTGTTAAAGATTATTGACCACACTCGCCACACCACAAAATGTAAGTAAAATAATATTTTAAATAATATTTTCTTTTAAATGAACAATTTAAATTAATTTTGTATTGTTTTTTGTTCTAAAAAGCTTAAAATGGAATCTTCTAAGTCAAAATCACCAGCAAAAAACACCACTACTCCAATTGAAACCTGCAAACACAAAGATGCAGATTGTCTGTGCAAAAAGAAGAAAAGTTACGCTGAAAATGCCTACACCAACGGATTTATTCTAGCTACGGCCGCCATGATGAACGATTTGGAAGTGGTACGGAAAGCCAGAGACGCCGCCATCTTGGCCAGCTTAAACTCACCCTGAACTTCAAACCAAAACGACTAAAAAACTCATCATCGTAATATTAGTCTTAAATGTATTATGATTTATCGATAAACATTAATATATTTTTATCACTCTAAATGTCTCTTAATTGGTGTTCATATTGCATTCAATTTTCCAGCAATTCCAGCACTAGCAATGATTTATTGACAGACTAGTTATCTGCCAAATGATTTGATTTGAATGCAGCTGTACACCTCCGGAGCTTGTCTCGCGCCGTGCTTAATTCGCAAACGCGAGAATTTGCATTTTGCGTCGGGCATCGGGTTTCGCATTAGAAACTTCCCGTGCGGTGCAGATTTATTGCATCGCGTGGGATAGAAAGTCAAGTCGCTAGTCAAAGACACAAGCGGCACACATGACTCTGGATGCAGGATGCATGAGTAGAATGCAAACGAAGACTCATGCCTCCTGGTCACCTGGTTAATGTTTACTGGTTTTACCACTTCTTTCCTCAAAAATGATTTGATCAATTCACATTCTCGTTTTATTTTGTACCAAACAGTTTTATGAAAATAAAAGTATAATAACGTAAACAAATTTCTAAAATTAATGAGTTATTATTAGGCCATGGCAATCACTGACCTACTCCAACCACTACCAAGCAAATCCAATGTAACCGAATACTCCTCACATTTATATGAACATGCAAAACGTGTAAAACAGCAAGTACTCACATAAACCAGTCGAAGATGAAATATTATATCAACACTAGAAGACTATCAATCATAACGACATAACCTGCCAACTACCACGATGCTCAAGTCGTTGAATACTGCAACAAGTTTACAGTTCACGCTCATATTCGCAAACTAGATATCACTTGACTCGCTTGACTTCTATTTGATATTGGAATTCAATTTGCTTGTTGACTTGCATGAGAATCTTGGAATATCTTGGATTGTAATGTCGTTTAATGTCAACGATATCAACATTCAAAACACAACATTCCATGCGTTGGTATTTTTGTTTTTAAAGTTATAATAGGTTCTTCTTGGTTACATTAGTTTACTTTTGCGTTTGCAGTTAGTTTTTTTGTGGTAATTCGAAGCGGTAAAGCGTTCGAGTGAACGCTTCTTGTATGTAGCCACTTGGAAGGCTTCACTTTTTATTCAGATTTCAATTTGAAACCTACATACAAAGCGTGTAAACTAATTTACTTAAAAAGCAAATGACATTAATTATTTATTATGACGATTTTTACAAAGTGGTTCGGTGCAAATGTAAATTTATTGCGTTGGTTGCATGAATCATCGATGGAATGGTTATTATCAATATTTTTTGCTTGCCTTTTGTTATGAGCGCCATGTTTACCCACTGTTTCATAAATGTTTGGTGTTTTTATTTCGGGCTCATTGTTCTACACGCATTACTACGCGTGCATCACAAATAGCGAAACGAGCATGCATTATTAATGCGCTTCGAAATATTTATCAGTTTTGCGCTGTGTATGCAAATCAGCGCGAATCGCAAACAATCGCAAGCTACATGCAACGAAACAAGATGGCCGCGCGCAAATTTATGTTTTTCTCGTTAAATGCGATTTTAGATTTACAACTATTAGGGATAGTAATTGAATTGTATTTGTTGCACTGGTTGGAAAAGATTTCGTCCGGTTTAATGAGTCTTAGGCAAGAGTTGTCGAGTGAAATATCGCAAAAACTAGTTGCGATGTACAGTTACTTCAATCCAGATGCATTATTAACGTCCGCGTGGCCGTGGCAGTAGTGGCACCGCACGAAGTCGAGGAATATACTGCTGCATGATAGCAAAACACGTCGTCGACATCGTCTACATGCAAAACCAGCAAGACGTATGAGTTTTCATCCTGTAGCTTGCAGTCACGCATTTGATACAGGATTTAATATTTCAGAATTTCCTGCATGCAAACATCTTTACTTTATCAAATTTCTAAATTTTGGATTTGAAATAAATTTGGGTTTTAATAAATTAAGTGTAAATCTGGATTTGTAGTCTATAATTTGCAATGTTTTTGCGTTTGACGTAGAAAGTTGCTTTCATCATTTCACTCCAGTCTACCAATTCTTTTTTTGCGTGGCCAAGAAACGCACACGCAGTCTAGATGAGATTTACGACTGTTGTTAACGTCTCTGTACTGGCTGAAATACATTCGAATAGGAATTCGCGCAGCGCTTGATCTTCATTTGTTCATTCATAGATTCGAATTCAAGTCCACGGTGAATGAGCCCAATGCCAATTGAATTGTTAATTTGGAATACGGTACGAGAGGAACGTTAAAATATCGACGGCAGGAAGACAATAACATTCAGCCGCTTGAACGTTAAATTGTTCAAAGGTTCGTGTAGGCGACGAATTGCAAATTCCTTGTACGGATAGGAAAAAAGTTGAAAATTACAGTATGTGACTAGAACTTTGATAATTAATAAATATACTACAGCAGCCAATTAATAGATTTGTTAAATTAGTTATAAATTGTAGTGCTGAGCGGTAAATTCAATTATTTCGTTTAATTTTATGTTGTTTTTATGGGTAAATTTTACCGGTGTTGGATTTTACTACATGTTGAAATGGTTTGTAGTTGTTGGGTGGCGGTGGAATCGATCGATGGCGGGGGCCTGCGCTTTAGCATAAAAGCCGCTCGCCGGGAACAGATTATTCACAACTCAAACCACCTCTGGAAGTGTTGTGTTTTACGTCTGAAGAGAAGACAAATAAATTTGTGCCAAAATGCCGTCTCCATGCGATTCCTGCAAAGGTAAACACAATATATCAGTATAAGACAAATTAATTATAATCAAATCAATTGCAGACACTTGCACTGATGGCAAGGGCTGTGGTAGCGACTGCAAATGCGGCGACGATTGCAAATGCGGTGATCATCATCATTCTGGTTCTGGTAAGCATATAATTAAATAATTATTCTGTTTATCATCAATTAAGCAATATTTATTGTCAATTACACTCATTTAAACCCACGATTTCTACAGAACTATGCAATAGTTTAATTTATGCTTATTGTGTTTTAGGTGATGGATGCTGCAGTGGTGAAAAGAAAGAGTAACTTCCATCAACAGATATTTGAAAGTAAATCCTATTAAGAAGAAAAACGATAAAATGTAACCGACTTATTATTTATTAACCATTAAAATGCTTGTACCATCTTAAGTAGAAGAAGCATATTACGGCTTTTTACGGCTATGATTATTTTATACTTGTTTATCGCCAAGACATTCCTATATCTAATTATACTTTGCAGACGAATGAATTGTTCTGTAATACATAACTGTTACGTTTGTTGATTATTAACTTTTTATGTTACTGTATACGCATAGTTCCTGCTGCAGTTTGCGCTTTAAACAACTGTTTAACGATATTTTAAGTAACTAAACGTTTGTTAATACGTTCGCGAACATGTTTTATTATACTGCATAAAATTTTATTTTTTTATTTTAATTCATTATCAAATTGTGAAAATTATGAAAGAAATATAAACTTGTATTAATATAAGCTTTATCTGGTCAAAATTATAAAATATAAGTTATCAAAAACATTGACAAACTGAATTCACCATCCTGTAGAGAATTCAATTTCTGGAATTCTGATTGTCCCGTTTATTTTCTGAAATATTGATGGTAATGTTAAACTGACTAGATATATTTCATCACTTCGACAAACTCCATTGATTTTTATTTCATTTTTCATTTTGGCCTTGCTAAAAATTATTTTTTTGGGACAAAAATTAGGCAAGTGGCTCAAATATATCAAACAAATCAAATTTATTATGAAACTGAAAGAACTGCAAATAACCAAATTTAAAGTGACATTCCTGGAATTGATGGAAAACCTGATGGTAAACCTGATGGTAAACCTGGGAAGTCGGATAAGTTAGGTAAGGTATCTGGAACATTTGGCATGTCTGGCACTACGTTTCCCACAGAAAGTAAGGCTTGTAATACAGTTACCAGAATCTGAATAAGAACCTGCAGAAGTCCCAACACAGCGTTCTTTACTTCCTCAAATCCTGCAGTAACTGGAGCCGCCATTATAGGGAAGTTCTCCATCCATGACAGCACATAATTAATAAAGGAGTAAGCCATTTCTCTTGCGGCGGCTTCCAAGAAAGCTTTGAAGAATAACATGAGCAGTTTAATTTCGTGGTAGATTGAACTGACAGTGTTCAAGTTCTCGTTTGTGACGTTCGTGCCAAATTCAAAACTACTGCTGATAAGGGTCCAAGTGGACACGACAATATTCTTAGCTGCATTGCGTAAATCTTCTTCCTGTTGAAGACTTTGCCAAACATTGGTGAAGTATGCTTTCGAAGCATCCAGGAAAGCTTCCATCTTATCTAGGACTACTTGGAAATTACTTTCCATTTCTTGTTGAATTTCATCAAGCTTTGCCAGCATGACGGTTTTAGCTTCGGCGGCAAAAAGTTTGCTCTTATTGATTAGTGCGCGCGTAGCATTAACGAAAGTGGCGCATTTCTCGGCAGAATTCTCGCTTAGATGGTCACGAGCCAGTTGGATACCTTCGATGAAGTCTTCAAAATACTCTTTGAATTTACCATTTTGGCCAGCCAGCATGCCATCAAGTTGGCTGCTAAAGGAAAGGTCTACACCCAGATTAAGATCAAAAGCATGGCCGCACGCCAAAATGGCAGCTAGTGCAAGAAGGAATCTCATTCTGTGAACAAGAATTAAATATTAACAGTGAATATATATTATATTAAACTGTTGGTACTCACACTGCAGATTGAAGGGTTCTCTGATACCCAATTGCCGGATGATAGCATATTTATACTAAAAAGTGTACAGAAATGCAAATCCTGGATTAAAACACACACGTCAAATTTATAATCCAAAACTGACGACATTCACTAATGAATATAAAAAGACAAACAAAATTAAAATAAAATAAATATTATCAGGATGCGAAACATAATTGTAATCCGTTTTCATAATATTTACATTCCGCCCGTGTTAGTAGCTGGTTGGCCAAAATTACCAACGTAACAACAAAAATTATAAAAATAAAATTAATATACAGAAGTCCTTCGCATACGTCAATTAGCATTGTAGAGATTTAATGTAGATTAAATACTTTTCACAAAACACGTACAAGTCATGTTTATAAAATCATTTAATTATTATTAAATATTCTCAGTAAGTTATTATACAATCAAACTCATGCACTTCATATACATAAAATAGTAGTGTAAACTATAAAACAAATTAACAAATACAATAAGTATAGTGTACGACTACGGACAATAACAAAACTCTAATCATAAACTATTGGCAGACAATACAGAAAAAACTACAACAGAATTAAATACAGACTATAACATTTATGTACAAGACATTTATCAAACTTTCCATTAATAAAACACACACTGACGAATAACTAAAACATTTTTAAAGTTTATCTATACTATAACTTAGGTAAGTACATGTTTTAATTAAGTTTTGTGATTAAGTTATTGCTGGTTAATAATTCATGAGACATGCAGTGGCTCATCAATGATTACTGTTGGCCTAAAACAGCACCAAAGACGAAATTAATAAATACTGATTACTGATGCGGTGTAGATATGTAAATAATGGAAATGTTTGTGATGGATGTGTGAGAATAGATTAAGATAGATATTATAAGTCGTATTGCATGGAGGAGGCTCTTACATCTCGCCGAATGTAATGCTTTTTTGGTGAACCAATGATCTGTGATGCATATTACCGTTGCCGGTGGCACTGCCGTTTTGAGCATTCTTTAGGATGCCATTCGGTGCGGCCGCCATGTTGTCGACCTTCTTCATATCCGGTGCAACGTTAATTTTGACACGATTTGTAAGTACCTTTGAAAGTGCATCCAAATTGAGCTGTCGGTTTGTGTTGTTGTTCACTGTTATTCGAACCGAGCCAGTTTCGTCACTCCTGATTTGAGGTGTTGAATGATTCAATAGATTTTCCTAAAATCAGTACAAGTAAATTATAATCATGTGTTTAAACAGTCTACCGTCATGTACTCGTATTTATCTCATAATTAGTTGACTAATTTTACCATTGAGTCAGTGCGTCGCCTTAAATTCGATCGGTTCAACGTCTGCGCCAACTCTGATGCAAATTGAGAGTTGATTGGTTCCTTATTGGAATCTGCGGCGCTTCCGTTCAAGAAGTCAAATTTTCCAGGCGTTTTTCTACTTGCACCAGCATATTCACCGATTGTGACGTTGCTCAGAGGTTTCTTGGCGGCGTCGAAAGAATCGGGGTGGAAGTAAGTCGACGGTGGTTTCGGATTACTCGCTGGATTGTGTATCGCAAACGAGTCGAGCGATTCCATTTCTACGGCGTCATTGTGATGCGTGTTGGAAGGATTGTGACTAGTCGTACGGTTGACAGGCTTCTTGGGAAGAGAACGCGGAAGCGTTGAGTTTGAATTCAGCGACAAGGTGTCGTAATCAGGTGTTGGGCAAGGGGGTGGTTGATGGAAAGTTGAAAAACTTGAAAGCGTGCTGGTCTTTACAGGTACCGGCGGTGGTGGCGCTTTTTGTTTCGGTTTCACTATATTAAAGGCACCTCCTGAATTTGCAGCACCAGACATTGGCAACTAAAATTTATAAAAATTTAATAAAGTTGACATAAGAATTATAATACAAATATATTTACGGGTGGTGGTGGAGGCGCTGCATCCTTTTTATTATGTATGGTCAAATCAGTGAAACAATTCGGTTTATTCTCATTGCCTCCATTCGAATTGTTTATTAGCTGGGTTAATCTGTCTGTGCTATCTTGGGAATGTCCATTTGTACGATCCTGTGCAGAAAACAATACAATTTAAATAAGCATTTAGAAATTTCTAATTAACCAGCTTACTTCATAAGTCTGTATGATCACAAGCGGTTTCCCAACTTTATTACAACTATTATTATTGCTCATACTGAACCACCGACGCACTGCAATTGTTGTGAATGCACATGCACAAAAGGAAAACTAATGAAAACTGCACTTTTCAACGATTTTATAGAGCTACTTAATGGCAAACTAAGCCAACACTTAAATGTGTTAAGTTTTGAAGTAAGTGCGTTTCGTCTATTGTTGAAAAAACAACTGAGTCGTTTATTATTTACAAACGAATCGTTCGTAGTTCGTACGCGGTTCGGTTCGCTTACACAACGACACGACGACGACTTTGGAAGCCGAACGAACTCGCGGCGGTAAGGTAGAAAAAAACCATGCACTGGAACACAAACACACGCGAACTGCAAACGCGACGCGAAACCACGATGATGTACAATGCGCCAGCGATTTTCAACTTGTAAAACGGCGAATTTCCACCTTTAATATTAATAATAATAATAACAATAATAACCACCGGCAATAATAACTACAACAATATTTACAACCGCAAAGTACTTAAACCTCTTGGATTATTTATTATTTCGTATGTTATTTCGTACGATTTCAACCGACACGGATGTTAATCCATAATTATTATTATTGCAAGATTACGAAATATTCACTTAGAATGTAAACGAAATTTAGTTCTTCTTTTTTTACCAAAAAACTAAAACACTAAACGATTAACAGAATGAATGAGTAAGAATATAAGATAAAAAGAAACAATCGGCGGTTATATAGTCAGGTGAGTTTGTTCAAGATACGCGAGATTGTATTATCACTAACTTGACGCCTATTTATGGCGCGTAATAGCGTACACGACATACCTTATCGAAATAGTTGTGTCAGTGAGTGCATTGTTAAAAGCAGCAACATTGGTACGCGTTGCAATAATATATCTAATGAACTTTGCTTGTTGGTTGTGCTAATATTTACAAATGCGTACCATAATTGAAGCAACTACGTAATTAAAGCATTTTTATGAATAAACTAATAAATTGGCACATTAAGACATCAATTTAAATGTTAAACACTTTGAATTGCTCAGAGAAGTCTTAATTTTTGTTGTTTTGATTTGATTCATTACGCAACTTGTTAAAAGTTCATAATAGATTGAGAAATGAATGAAACAAATGAAATCGCATCACTTATTAAACTGTGTGTGCACAAATCTTCTTTAAGTTTAATTTAAACAATGAAAACATTATTTGTACAGAGTGTTACATTAATATTACCCAAAATTACATCTAAAATTATTTTTCTTAAATGATTATTTTCTGCAACACTCTGTATAAAGTCTCATTGTTACAATTTAGTCGATGAGCACACGACCGTATGGGTAACAGACGTGCGCGCCAATGAAACACAATAAAAATAATGGAATATTGTAATTCAACGCGAAAAAGCAAAAATCATCCATTCCCGCGCACGAAAAGTGAAAAGAAAAGCGCAACGCGACGTAAGAGTTACGCGTGCTCGTCGTGCACACAATTGAATTGAAGTCGCACGCTCACTTTGGATCCATTCTCAACTAGCTGAGCATTCAACATCAACGGCAACATGAAACCCGCATATTATAATATGTATTAAACAAAACTCGCGCAAAAACGCCAGTATTATGCGCATCATTCAAACAAAAAAATAAAGAATCCACCCGAAGAAAAGAAAGAAAGTAAAAATAAAATGTGAGAGTGGGTGCCAAGAAACGAAAGTAAAATTAACAATTGAATCGGATTTTTTTCGGCTGCGGTAATCCGTAACATCAGATAATTATGCTTGTAATTCCTACCTGCTTATCATCGACGCTATCTGCCGGCCCGTTAGACTTGAACATCTTCTTGTGCGCCTTGCGAAACTCATCCATGAGCTTGTGGTGCTGTTGTTGTTTTTCCGTGTCGACGTTCTTCATAAGATTTTTCTTCATTTGCAACTGCTCGTCGATGGATAATGTGTTATCAACCTTTTGTTTCTGTAATAATAGTAGGATAAAAAGTACGGTGCATTGAATTTATTGAAATGCGGTTATTACCTCTGATCGTCTTAAAAGCTCCTGGGAAATGGCACTGGAAAGGCTTGTGGCTGCAGATTGCGTACTGCTGCGGCTCGCTGAGCTCGTATAGCTGCTAATTGAAGGCGTTTTCGATAGAGCTAATTTTTCATGTGGTGGATTAGGTAAAAGTGGTTTTGTTGTCGATTCATCGCTTCGATGAATTTCGACGACGACAGTTTTGGTGTCCGGTGGGTTCGGTGGCTCCGGTTTGCAGTCCTCGAAGCTGCTGGTGCCATTATTCTTGATGGTCGTGCCGTGCTCGGAGAGATTGATAATCGTCGGCTTGTAGAAGTTGCCCCTATCGCACTCGGCATCGATGTCGTCCCATTCGATCTTCTCCCACTTCTGCTTGCTGTTGGCGCGTTGTAGATGCGCGAGACGATCCTCCAAGTCCATCGACTCTTCCTTGACGATCGACAGCCGCTTGGAATCGGACCACGAGGGACTCTGGTCGCCAGTCACTGAACTCGCCGAGCTGTTGTAGCCGGACGACTCGCCGGGGAAGAGCTCGGAGCCGGCGGACTTCCGCACGACAAGGTCCAGCTGCCGCGAAGACTTCATCAACGCCACCGCTTCGTTGAAAGCAATATCGCCAAAATCCACGCCATTGCACGCAAGGATTTGGTCGCCGGGCCGCAGGCCAGCCTCACGTGCAATCCCACCCTCCTTGGTGAACTGGATAAAAATACCCGGTTTCCAATCGGGGCCTTTGCATATTCTAAATCGAAGATGATCGTTAGATCGGCCATGCGTGCGATCGTTAAAATTTACGAGCTTACCCGCATCCTAATTTGGAGCGCGGCGCGACTTGGATTGTGATGCGGACATCATGATTCTTCTCGCCTAATTGTGGCGAGGATCGTGTCGACGAACTACAGTCTGATATTATTTGCCAACTTAATGGATCACCTCGTTTTCTAAATTAAAATAATTTGCAAACAATCAAAAATCACATAATCTACTTAAAAATCACTTAAGTAATTTTACTTACTCTTTTACAGGAATCATCCCAACACCTGAAACAACAACAAAATTTAATCCCAAGCGTCAATATTCAATAAATTTCAATAAATCCTTCAGCAGCAACTAAAATTATTGCCTACTTTAAGTGAAATATGATTCTCCGAACACCGTGTTATTATCCTTGCCAATTGCACAAGAATTGCTCAATAATCAACCTCGTACTCGCCTCGGGTCTCGCAGAACCACTTTAATTAACATGATGCGTTTTCGCATTACATTCGGGAATGTAATATAGCCCTAATAGAATAAGCGAATGTGAGGCGCACTCACATGAAAATTATTATTGACAGAATTCATGCCTTGACTTCATTACCGAGCGCATGGCTTTAATAACCGGCTGAAAAATGATACACGATGCGTTTGATTTGCGGGCAGATTAAAGGATGATTATTAATGGTCCCCGGCATCGTCAACTGCAAATTACATTCGATAATTCATGCATACGCTCAACACGGCCTTAGAAAGTATATCCAGCTCAAGAAAATATTATCATTTTTAAGCCTGCCCTGTACTAATGCAATTATGCATTTAAATTAGGATTATAGTCATATTAGAAGTGGAACAAAAGAAACTTCTATCTTAAGATAAGTCAAACGTTGGAGAGTTTTGTTTTTATTACTCTCGTATGACTGAATAAATATTATAATTTCATGACGAATCTTCTTTGTCATGTTGCTCTAAACTACCAGACATGGTAGGCAGATATAATTTAATCAAGCAGGATGTTCCAGAATAAATTCTAAACATCCTTTTCGAATTGTAAAACATCCACGCTGCATTGTTACATGTTACAACACACACACAACGAGTACGATTTGAATGAAATTCCTTTCAATTTTATCCGAAATTAGCGGTAATCCAATTTCGAGCGTAATTTGCGTTGCAAAATTACATTTTGGAATCTGAGAAACCGAAAATGTGGTTCGAGATTACAACAGTGCATTGTGCAGGCGCAGGCCAAGTGCGCGTGAAAAACCCGACAATTTGGCGCTGAATAGAATTAGGTGTTATGCCGCTTCGCGTTATGAAAGCGCCGCCGCCGGCCGGCGAGTTATATGCATTGATAATGTCTTCCGGTACGTCAAGGTGATTCGAGTACACTTGCCCGACGAACCGTGCAGCAAAACCAACAACTAAACGCCGCGAACACATTCGTTCTAAGCGTGAAGAAAAACATATTTCAGCAAGAACCAATTTTGTAGGTTTTAATCATGACAGCAATGACATTTAGTGTATAAACTATAACCTTAATTGTAATAATATACTTACTTCGGACTTTCAATGCGAGATGAGTGTGATTCGAAATCAATTGCAGCACCTCCTTGTGCACGGCGTCTTCGACGGTGAAGCCGTTGATGCGGACGATCTGATCCCCGACCTGCAAGCAGAGAAAATCGCGATTGTAATAAATTAGATCTCAATTAAAGGCGCGCGTACGCGCAACGCTGGTATTTTAATTAAAACGACGGCTGCCCTTATTTATCGCCGGCCATTATTTTCGCACGGCGCGATGCCGCGATATAGATATAGATTTTATTTGTGCGTTTATTGGATGCCCGGTTTTATTTCATTGAACCCCAGCCGCAAGGAGCCAAGGTTATTTCTTGCATTCCTTGTAATTCTGTACAATACGCAAACGCAACAAGTTACATCTTACATGTTTTCTCAAGCAGAAGAAAAATGTTCGCATCACTAAAAAGTGTCTTCTCACTGTACGGGTAACATGTCAACAATTCCTCATTAATTTTCGCATACGAGTGAAAGTGGATTATAATAAATATTAATTAAACTCGCGCACACGTAATTCTCTGATTGTTTTTTTGCTTGGCATTGTTTGAAGATGATTGAAATTTGTGTGGTAGAGTGACGTGAACAAGAGTCAACTTTTAAAAGACAATTAGCGATGAAACAAAGTAGCCCCGGCGTAGCGCGGATACTTAGCCTAGCCTGAAATGAGCAGCATTATTAACATTGACCTTAACCGGTCGTTACTTGGTTTCTTCAAGTTTCTCGAAGTAGCATCATGAGCGGCCGCATGTCATGGTATGACTGCCACGCCATGAACCAATACAACCAGTAGTTGCAGTACGAAACCAGCCTGAAGAGTAAACTCCAGCAAAAACTGACCAACAACGACGGGTTGTTAGAGCATTGAAACGCTCAAATGTCTTAGTCTTAAACAAGTATTCTTGTTATTCTCAAGACACATTACATATTTTAATATAGTGTATCTTGTTAATGTGTTTTTTGTAACCGATGACGTTTAGAATCTTGTAGTAAAGTGACTTATGACGTCTGAAGTCGTAATCATCAACGCAACAAGAATTGAACTTCCTGTGGTGGCCGGTCATGAACTTAATGTGCTTTTTACACCTTTATCTTTTGCTTTTTACGCTCACCTTCCGTCCATTACAATGCTAAATAAGTCGAAGTAAAAGTACGACTTGCACTTGTCATGAAGCATGACTATCATGAAAACAACTGACTAGATAACACTGCATTCAAAGATTCAACCATTACAACCAATCAATGCTTAACTTGGATGTGTCATTTTTCCAATACGATCAATAGCACAAATTGCAACCAACCGGGAAGTGAATTCTACAATCGTAGACAAAAGCAAGCGACTACAAAAGCTCAAAGCTTCAATTCATGTTTATTGCATGCAAGTTAAATCCACCTTCAACGTTACAGTCAGTTATGGCAAAGTTGTCATAGGGATTTAAAAATTTGAATGAAATAAGAACTTATGGTATTGCGGTAACGTTATGGAAACGCTAGCGTGCCTTCGAGAATCGCGATGGCGATGTGAAGTTCACCTTCCGACGCCAGAAGCCTCGAAACCACCACCACAAGAACAGAACACAAGTATCATACAAGTACTGGTACTTATAATCGTGCATTGGACGAAATTTATGCGTTGCGGGTGTTCCTCCACTCCGTGCTATCTGCACACTGTATAATTCATCGGATTATCTGTGTATTATTGTGTTGAGTTGACTTCGTGATCGTTTGTAACGGTATCACGAGATGAATTCAATTCTCGGCGCATATACAGTTTTACACAAAAGTGTAACAATTTTTATACGATATTTATTTATTTATTCATCTCAGCATGACTTTCTCCAATTTGTCGCCGGAGGTTTAAGCTGGGCAATTATGAATCGAAATAACGATAACAATAAAACACCTGTACTGATTATATTGACGACAATTGCTCATAATAATGCTCGTACACTCACGAAACAATGAATCAACGTGGGCACATAAACACGACCACTCATCGCATTCTAGTACAACTAAAAATTCGATAACCAGCTCGCAAACGACGAGTGATTGATATTCGCTGTATTTGATGCGGCGTTTTTCTCGGGTGAAAACGCGGAGGATGCATTTGCTATGAATAGCAACAGGAAAAGCTCGCAATGCGTTTGAAGAAGAGAAATGTGTCTGCATGCCGAAAAAACATGAATGCGAAATGAATACAAACGTAATGTAATCCGTGCTCATGCTTACATTTGAATATAAATCAGCGAGTGCGAATTGTATTGAAGACACACACGGCGCACACGCCGGACGCGCACATGGCGGAGGCGAAGAAAGTTAATTAAAATATGCATTTATGCAGGAGCATACACTGCAGATCGCACACGCGCAAGATTTAAGTTAAAGAAAATCAATTTGAATACCTAATAGTCTACAACTGAGCTACAAGACATTTTTATTCACGTTTTCACACTCAATTTATAGATTATTGACTATTATTTTATTTTGAAACATTCTGGTGTAAAAGTAGTTTTTGTGTTTAAACTTTTTATGTAGCTCCAGCGTTCGCACAGGAAATAATGTTTATTTATCTTTACGAGTACGCACAAAGAGCAGCAGCAGGTGAGCGTAATAATAACACAGAGCGTTAGATCAGATGTGGAAAAAATTACGAAACGCATCAATTACCATCCGCTCGCGTCGGATACATTCGACATTAAATAAATTATCAACTCGCGAAATTTAATTAAAGCACAAAAACACATAAACAAAATGACAGAGTACATATCCTCTCAGTTTCCGAAAGTAATTGATTAAATTATCTGCGATTAAATTACAATTAACTTTCTAAAAAACAATTACCGTTTAATATTTTACGCTTTAAAGTAAGAGCAGATTACTTTTTTATTATGGCGCGAAGAATCGGCGCCAGCGCCACCCGAAATGCGTTTATTATGAGATAAGACTGCTGCCAGAATTAATTTAGCAGTTTATTTGCAAATACTATGCATTGATTATTTCAGGTTGGGCCATAAAAATGTTTTACTGCTGACAGCTCCGGACGCATCAAATTTGCACTAAAATGTAAATTTAACACTCATTTCAGTAGGTGCTTTTTATTATTATTTTTTTGTAGTCCTACCCACTTAATACGTTAATTTAAGTTACCAGTATTTTTTCTTCTAAAAGAAAATTTCAATATTACAAATTTTGGACAAAAAAAAGAACATTATGAATGAAATTAAATGAATAAACATTTAATTTTATAGTTTAGGTTATGTTACCATATACCCCTCTCCCTGATTAATATTTATTAAGTTTTACCTTTTTAAATTATAAATCACTTATTTAGGTAAATGTATAAAGAACTTTGCTTACCCTTAATCCTTGCCTATGAGCCTCCGAACCAAGCTCAATATGCGTGACGAAAAACCAGTACCATGTTCCCTCCCACCTCGGATACTGAATCCTAAATTAGGCCCATGACGACATCCACTTAACCCTGGCGGCGGCAACGCGCTTATATTCGGTCTGACAAGTCGCACAGTCCTCACGCGATTAGATTGTCTCGTTGAAGAGACAACGCTGCCGGACATCGTGTCCGACGACATGGCCGACATCCCCGACATCGCCGACATGGCGGACATACTGGATCCACCGCCGCCATATTGAAACGGATGATGCATCGCCATCGACGACTGATGGTGGAGATAATCAGACATCAACATTCTAAAAGTAAAATTATTCAATTAAATACATATAAATGAATACAAATGAATACAAAATACAAAGAAGTGAAAGAATGATACTATTAGCATGTAATAAAATTATAAAGTTAAATTTTTCTGCAGAGACGCAACTTTTACTTTAATTACGTTGATGTGGTATTGTTTAAAAATAAAGTAAAAATATTTTGATCATTTTGCGCATTACATATTACGCAAGGCACGTAATAAATAACAGTATAAGAAACTATTATTGTTAATAGTTACGTTCCATCACAAAACAACTCATCATGTGTGATTAAAGTTTGAATAAATCATTATAAACGAAATGGTTTTTGGGTTTTGTTTTGTTTCGAGTTCAATGAGCATTAATTTGCATTGTAATTTTCATTTATATGACTATTTTGCTTTAGAACTCAAAGTAATTTTTAATGCGCGGTGAATGTACCAAAAAAATTTCTTTTTCTTTTGTATTAATTCATGGTTGAAACCATAATCAACAAATAAATGGTCATTCAGTTATTTCATTTTATACTTCACGATATAATAATTTAAAATTCGTTAATTTTATTTATAATAGCAAATTGCTTTCCATATTAATCGAAACATTTCGCAATACTAATTGGATTTGATATTCGAAAACGTAAAATATTTTCCCATCGTTTAATATCTTTTAATCACAGTTGAAATCTTTCTAAACAATAGCTTCGAAGACGAAAATAAGAGTTTAAACGGTTAAATGAATTTTAATTGAAATTTGTTTGTCTGTTAATTTCCACATTAGCAAGTTTACTTGTTTATCCTTTTATAGTATCCTGGAACTAAGTTTTCCATTAACCGATTCAACGACGAGTAATTAGAAAGGCGCGAATTGAAATTCAAAGATGTGTAATTTTCACCCGTTTCACATTTTGCCACATCGCATCATTGCATTGCCGCGGCGGCGACGTTGTAAACAAAAAGAAAATCTTATTTACGCAGTGAGCTAATTCTTATATTGTTCGCGCTGGGAAATGACATAAAGCGCCGCCAAAAGTACAAAAGTAGCGCTAAGTATTGCACTTTAAAACGTATTAAAGCGGCGCAGTAAATTTAAATTGAGCAAAACTGTAGTTAATTGAATTGTAATGAAAGTAAAGTGGCTAGAATTATTTATTAATAAGGAAAATTCAATAAATCGATCAACAGATGGTGAATTTCTTTTCACACTGCGTATTTTCACTGCGTTTTATTGGATTATGTTCAATATGACTAACAAACGCACTTCTCTTTTATTCTCTATTTTATCCTACTATATAATGACTAGAAACAAGTGCAACTTATCATTACTATTAAAACAATAGAAGCAAATTAATCTCATTTTCAAATTTCCTTTTATAATGAAAATGAAATCTTGAAATCAAAAATTGAATAGAATAAAATGAAACAAATGAATCAATAGAATAATAAGAAGAGAATAAAACCAGCCTAACCAGTAATTTCCGCCGCAGTGTTCCAATTTCTAAGCCTGATGATTAGATCAATACACAATATTAATTTCTATTTCTAATTCAAATTCAGCCTTTGCTTTTTGATAAATTACAGCTTCTTTTTATGCACTCAGCTAATAAATCAAGCTGCATCACAGTGATCCAATTTTCATTTAGTTTCTTTTATTTTTTGCATTCAATGCGTTTGGAATTTTCATTGTGTTGTATTTTAAACCTGTTGAATTGAGAGAAAAGTGCGCACGCTTGGAAAGTGAATTCGTGGAAATAGTTTTCTCATTAGCTACTTAATTAGATATTAGTAGGTATATAATTCAGTCTATCATTCAAAATACAAAAATTGCATTTTGTGATTTATTAAATGTTAAAACTCGCTTAAAAATCAGAAAAACTTCAAAATCTGTAAAAATATAAAAAATTTGCAAGAAAATTTTTGGTTTGTTCCAAATTTCACTCCACTGAAGAATATTTTTGCTCGATGTTGTATTTATTAATTCGATTACCATTGATTTTCAAAAATAGGTCATCATGCTCGTAGAAAAAGTGAATTGTGCGCGTGTTTCGTGTTACTTATTTTTTTCTGTGTTTTTTTTTCGTGTGGTTCTGCGCCCGCCGGCGATAAATATGATATACGCATTTGGAATTCTGTGCTGAGTGCGGCGAGCGCACTTTCTTCCATTGGCGGGCGCACTTGCCACGCCGTCTCGCAGCAAAAGTATTTCAGACGAGACGCGCAGAACTCTCTAGCAGGTCTGGGCCTACTTTTAGCCGAAACGCGCCCGGGGCGATCGGTCGACCGCACACCATCCTCAGCCGAGAAAACAACCAGCGGACAACCAACACAAAACAAACCTACTGATCAACATATACAACTAATTTAATCCATTCAATGAATATCATGGTGTAAAAATTATAAAATTCTTTGTTTTTCTCTCATTTACATCTAAATTCTTGGATTTTATCATTCAAGATCACAGAATATTGTCATTTGTATTAACGAATCAATTTTTTCTATTTTCACCTAAAAGTACTTTAGTCACGGGCTTTAGTCACGGGGTGGAGCTTGCGTCTGCGCATTTGCCTATGATGCAGCATAAGATAAAATAAACACGTTAATTTGTGTTTTTCTAGAGTTTTGCGTGAAATTTGCGTGAATATAATCAAATTTTCGAAAGAAACACACAAATAAATGTGCGTACAAGTGGCAAAAAAATAAAAATAAAAGAATTATTAAATTTCTTGCTTTTGACGCGCAATAAACTTCAAAATTATTTTTTCTGTAAAACTGATTTCAACCGATAAAAAATAAAATATTAGGTGTGCTTATTTTAATTAGCATCTAAAAATTATGTAAATACCGTAATATACAAATTATAATTACGAATTAATGTAACAAAATTATGCAAATTATCGCAGCACAAAATTCAGAATTAAACCTGAACGATAATTCTCTCTCCGTGTGCCATATGCACGCACTAATTGCAGTATCCGTCCTGACCGCTCCGAACTCACCATCACCTCCGCGAGCCAATAAATTATAATATTTTTACCACGCACTGATTGCCCGCCTAATTACGAGCATCACATTGTTGCGGTTGCGCCATAACTACTACACTATTACTATTACCTACTAATCGCACTAATAGTTGATTATGAGCAGGTGGATTCGCACATTCATAGTGCAACTCTTCAACGACCTTCATCAAAGTGACTTGTTGCAGACTGGGAATGTAAACGAAATATTGCTTGTTTTGTTTATGACGTATGTGAGTGTAGTAAGCATTATATTCGTGAATTAGTTGCAGAGCATTACGACACGATGCGGATTGGCTGGCACGAAGCGCAAGCAATGAAGAAATTGAACTCGGCGTGCCGATGTGCCGAAGTGGCGACGACGAGAAATTCTCACGTGACCCTTACAACGAAGGTCAAAGTTATTCACACACCGAGATAAACAGCGACAACACTGAACGTGGATGAATAAATTCCGAAAAACGACGGAATTAAATAATAAATTGAGAGAATTTTGACATTTTAGTCAAAGTATATTGAGTTGCATACATTTAGAGCTATCAAATTGATTTATTGTTTAATTCAGTAGTAATATAAACTAAAATGGGTCAAAAAATGTTCTTAATTTTCTCCTCGTAATGTTTAATTGCAACTTTATTGCTTCTCGATTATCCGTGCAGATACTCTATTTCGGTTGTAGTTAATTCAGCACGGTATCGATTTTTATGATGGGTTTGTGTGAACAAGTTCGTAAAACAAAACAGCAACAACAACAAAAAACTAAACAGGAACAAGGCGCACATTCCGAACATGTCGGACGTGTTCGAATATCAACACGCAATCGTGCCGGTCGTCTATTATATCCGCGGATCTCTCGAAAGAAATCTAAATTAGTCGGCGAAAACATTCTGGCCTAAAAACGATTACCAGCCGCCGCAAATTACCGACTTCGGCAGCAATTAAACGTCGTCGTAAATAACGATCGGAAGTTACGTTTCTCTTTTTGCGCTGTGTGAAGGTAATTATTTCCTCGTTGTAATTGTAATTGTCATGCGTCGTGCAGCAGTTGCGATATGTTTCAATTACTAAACTCGCGAACAAAACCACAAAACATTTAAATTTAAACAAAGTTATGTTGCGTTACTCGTTTGCTTTTGAGAGATTTCAAAATTATGTGGGTGTAATGTTAAGCGCACAAGTGTATAAAAGTAAGTTTAATTAAAACACGAAATATTTTATAATATTTGAACAAAAAAACAATGTTAGAAAAGAAAGTAATAGCAAAATTAAAGCAGGTAGTTGATAGGCCTTTTTTAAATTACTTTAGTCACAGTCTTGGTCGTCCGTGTATAAAGTACCACAAAACAAAAAAAACTGACGCTGTAATGATAATTAATATCTCTTAAACTAAAAGCGACGCATTGCTGATTATGAAAGACTGAAAGACAGATAACAATATAAAATAATAATATTTTCAACAGCAAAAGAATGAAAAACGCGACTAAAAGTGCTAAAAAGTGACATTTTTCAATTTTTGCCCATTTTCTTCAAACGCTTTTATCTCGTAAACTAAAAGAGATAATTAAGATCTGATCGCAGCGTCTTAATCTACGGACTATTCTCTATCAGATAAAATAGTTAAAACGGAAATCTGAGAGATGAAATTTTAACTCTTAAGAAAAAATTGCCAAGGGGGGGTGCTTGATACTTTTTTTCGACGATTTTTGATAATTAATATCTCTTAAAATAAAAGCGATAGCAACCAAAGAATTGCTGATTATGAAAGTTTGAAAAATTCTCTATCAGATAAAGATATAAAATAATTATATTTCCAATAGTAAAAGGTTGAAAAACGCGACTAAAAGTGCTAAAAAGTGACATTTTCCAATTTTTGACCATTTTCTTCAAACGCGCATATCTCGTAAACTAAAAGAGATAATTAAGATCTGATCGCAGCGTCTTAATCTACGGACTATTCTCTATCAGATAAAATAGTTAAAACGGA